CATCTAGAAGAAAATCACTATACATCACATGCTCCCCATGCCCATAGAAAATATACATCTCTAACCGTGGTAAGAACCATCAAGAACTCTCCGAATTCCATTTGCACAAAACTAAACCGTAAGGACTAAATCCTTCTAACTCAACCAAGCTACGTAGACCACTAAAACCCAAGAGAATTGCCGCGAAGCACCTGTAGAAATTCATTACCTCGTAAGCACCCAAAGAACTAATCATATCCTTACCATGCCGATCCGGCCTACTACCAAGCTAACCCATCTACCCAAGTTCCTTCTGATTTATTTTCAACTTGATACATCTTCTTGCTATAACACCACAATCTTGGACCCAGACTCGCCACACGAGACCCAAGCATAAAGCCACACCGTCCTACGATTCATAAGTTGCTGACTACTTTCTCAAATATACCCAAAAGCACCACATTCAAAATGTTTTCCCTGAAGAGACTTCTTGCGAATCTAAATCCATTACCTTCACTTTTTTGATACTGATATGTAGAATCCATATTGATATAGAAATACCATGAGTCTTGACACCCTTCAATGCAAACCTCAGTTTCTAGACAAATATACAACTTGAAAATCTCCAATTATTACATGTAAAATATTGAACCTATTAGAATCACTTTCGAGAGTCATCCACTCTACTCAAACCTCAATTAGACTGATCAAATGAACCGAACAACCTGTGCCACATTAGCACTCCGACACAGCAGAATGTAACTTCACCTTAATGCAACCAAGCAACTTATGTTCTATGCATCGTACATCCTTTACCAATAACAACTCAAGTCATTTCGTGATTCTCATACGCCTATAAAGGATAACATAACCTTCATTAAAATTTCCTTTACTCGAGCCATCCTCGGTCTCAACCTCCGTAAGCGATAACTGATTCACCCGTACGCCTCAAACTGGAACCAACATAGCACATAACCGTGCAATCAACTAATCAATAACAGACTCCCCCACTTGGCTCAAAGCCATAGATCAAAACACACAATAACTCATAATGCATATACTCTATTACTGCCATAATACCATAGTGAGATTAAACTCAATCCTTCATAAGCTCGTGAAACACGGACCATCTAGTACTTTAAATCTTCTGCAAATCTCGCATTCACCCTCGTAACAATCAAGCCCACTCTCTTAGGCGACCCAAATTTCAATTGCAACACATATATTTCACTGGTAACAGAGATCTTCCAATAAACGACATAAAGGATCATGCAAACTTCAGAACAGTCCGCAGGAGAGAACCCACCTGCTTCGCCTCAAACTAACATCTCTTTATACCCTTCCACCGTCATAAACATTACGCAGTCACTTAATCTTCCTAAGTCTGAACTCATATCACAACGTGAAATCTAGTTCACTTCCCAACTAGGCAATATGAAAAGATCCTTCAACATGCCCATAACTCGGGCTATACATCAAATCACGATGGAAATCAAGTATCATAGTTCTTACTACCCCCAAGCAGACGCTTCTTGTCTCGTTCAAATCATATGTACATATCTCGCAGTCACATCATACTCATCACATAGCTATCCAGTCATCACTCCCACTAATAGGGACACTATCGGACATACAAATCCAAAAACACATGCTCACACAATCAACGCCTCAGTGCTCAAGCTATATGCAAAACCCGGCCTCAACTCCTCCAGACTGGCCCAACATCAACACACAGAGATCACACCTTGCCCCTCGATCAGGGAATCACAAGTCATCGATGCATATGTGATACTGAGGGCTCATGCGCGCATACGAATGCGTGGAAGAAATTCAAAGAGTTACATTTCAAGTTGAATCAAGGACGCACAATAAGAATTCAAGAATGTGAAGTTTTTCCTAAAGGTTCTGCAGCCTCCCGGGGATAAGTACAGACATCTCCGTACCGATCCGCGAGACTCTACTAAACCTGCTCATGACTCGTGAGACCTATGTAACTAGGATCTAATACCAATTTGTCATGACCCTAGAACCGACCCGGTCGTGATGGCACCTATCGTGAAACTAGGCCAGCCGACACAACTCCTGAATTAACCATTAATCAATAACAATCATTTTAAAGCCTTTAATTAATCAGATATCTCATAATGTAAGTTTAAATGAACAGTGCGGAATAAATACACAAACCCAACATCGGGGAGTCACAATTCACGAGTATCTACTAAGGTCTGAATATAATGAAGAGTCTGAAAATATACTAAAACAATCTAAGGAAGACAAGAGGGAGAAGAGCAGGGCTGCGAACGTCGGGCAGCTACCTTGCTAACTCCAATGACTCTGCCACTGAGCAACCAACACCCGCAACCGGGTTCAGAAATACCTGAATCTGCATACACTGTGCAAGAAGTAATGTGAGTGCGCCAACTCAGTAAGTAATAAAAGTAAATGAAAACTGAGCAGTAAGAAAACACGTAAAACACAGCATAACGCTACAGCAAATGCAGTACCTTTCCAAAACAGTACAGAAATCATTTTCTTCGTAAAGCAAGCTCAGTTTCAGTAAAACCTTTTAAAACAACTTTCAATAGTTTCAAGCGAGTGATAAAACAATAAGTAAAAATAATAGAAAGTAAACAGCCCCTCGGGCAAAACATGTACCATAAACCGCCGATCGAGCATAACATCAACAGAACCAGGCCCTCGGGGCTACCTCACAATCACTCGTAATCAGCCCCTTGGGCATAATATAAATCAAGAACCACCCCTCGGGCAAACATGGATCAAGAACAGCCCCTCGGGCAAACATGGATCAAGAACAGCCCCTCGGGCATCAAAATGAAACAACAACAACTCCTCGGGCTACAACATATCACTCACACTAGGTACCCGCGCTCACTGGGGGTGTACAGACTCCGGGAGGGAGCCCTTACGGCCCAAGCGCAAAAACAAGCCATCTTGTGGCATAATCAAACAGGCTCTCGCCCTCATATCAAGCCACCTCGTGGCGTAACAAATCAAGTCCTCGGCCTCATAATCATAAATCAGTACCCCATTGCTGCGGCGCATAGCCCAATCCCATAATATCCTCACAACACAGGCCCTCAGCCTTACTCAGTCAGAAATCTCTCATGCCACTCGGGCAATAGTAAAACATGATGCTCAGCCCAAAATATTATTTAAAATATCAAAACAGAGTAAATACAACTGAGTTATGAAAACAGTAGAATACAACATGATTGAATACAAATATAAAGTCAAAACAGTGAGGATTAGTAGTAAAAATCCCCTAAGAATCCAAAATAATTGGCACGAGGCCCAAATATGGCATTCAACCCAAAACATGATAATACTTTCCAAAACACAATGATATCAAACAGTTTCAATCAAATATGCGGTTTAACAGTCATATGGGACGGACTAAATCACAATCCCGAACGATGCACAACCCTACGCTCGTCATCTAGTGTGTGTGGCACCTCAAACTAGCGCAACGATGTGAAATCTGGGGTTTCATACCCTCAGGACAGATATTTACAATCATTACTTACCTCAATCTGGTCTAAACTCCAGCCCGCGATGCCCTTGCCTCTCGAATCGGCCTCCGGGTGCTCCAAATCTAACCAAAATCAGATTTATACCATCAAAATATGCTAAGGGAACAAAGTCCACTCGAAAATAACCAATTTACATCAAAAATCCCGAAATTGGCCAAACCCGACCCACGGGCTCACGTCTCGAAATCCGATAAAAATTACATCAATAAAATTTTTATCCTCTCACGAGTCTATACATACCAAAATCATCAAATCCAACATAAAATGCTCATTCAAATCCCCAAAAGAATTCTCAAACTTTTCTTCCATTTTATCCCAATTTTCACTCTAATTTCTCAAATTAAATGATGAAATTCAAGACTAAATCATGGAATTAAACCAAATATGAGTGAAGAATACTTACTCCTATAGCTCCACTAAAAATATCCTCAATTTTCACCTTCTCCCGAGCTCTCTAATGGTTTTTGTGATATTTGACTTAAACCCTCGATTTCCAAATATAATCTGTCTGCCTAGATATTTTCTTCATCACGAACGCGGCAGCACCCTCGCGTTCGCGAAGCACAAAGCTTCACTGACAAAAATTCCTTCTACGCGAACGCGATGCACAACTGACTCGCCTTTTCGCGAATGCGACCTCTACTACGCGAACGCGTAGAACAAATGCCTTGGGGTCCCAGCTATTCCACTTCCTCTACGCGAACGCGGCAAAACCCTCGCGAACGCAGTGACCACTGACCTTAGACCTTCGCGAACACGAAGGCCAACTCCACTGCCTCACATCCTAACCCTTTGCGAACGCGGGACGTCCATCGCGAACACGAAGGTCAAAAACCTGCAACACCAACAACAGTTTTTCTACAACTTTTTTCCAACATGAAATGATCCGTTCAACCACCTGAAACTCACCCTAGGCCCTCGGGACCTCAACCAAACATGTCAACATATCCCATAACATTATTCAAACTTGTTCCAACCTTCGAAACGCTCAAAATAACATCAAAACACCAAAATTACATCGAATTCAGGCCTAAGAATTCCAAAAACTTCCAAATTCCGCTTTTGATCAAAAAGTCTATCAAACCTCGTCCGAATGACCTGAAATTTTGCACACACGTCACAAATGACACAACGGACCTAGTCCAACTTCCGAAATTCTATTCCGACTCCTATATCAAAATCTCACCTATCAACCGGAAAACAACAAAATTCCAATTTCGCATTCAAGCCTAAATCTACTCCGGACCTCCAAAACGCATTCCGATCACGCTCCTAAGTCCCAAATCATCTAACGGAGCTAACTAAATCATAAAATTTCCAATCCGAAATCATATACCAACAAGTCAAAACTTGGTCAAATCTTTCAAATTTTTAAGCTTCAAACTGAGGACCGTACTTTCAAATTCATTCTGATTATCCTGAAAACCAAAACCGACGATTTACATAAGTCACAATACATCACACGGGGCTAGTCATGCCCGAGAACTGACAAGCGAAGTGCAAAAGCTCAAAACGACTGGTCGGGTCGTTACACTCAACATCTTCGAGTCGATGAGATAATATATTTCCATTAGCAATGTGGCGAGAATAGTGAATGCTTAATCGAGCTTTCCATGCTCTAAAAAGCCTTTGCATAGTACTAATGACAAAGGCTTGCAACACATGCTCTTGCACACTGCCAAGAACTTCAAACTTATCCTGCACATATATATGTAACATTATATTGATTTTAACTACAATAGTAAACCATGTAATTTGAAGCCAACACAATATTGAAAATAACTTGTTACCTTAACCTTTAACCACATTGTTTCTTCATATTTTGAAACAATCTTTTGTCAATTCCTATCTCGGAATGAGATAGTGCTCCTCATGATCAAACCACAATAATTAACAATATCTCTTGCCCTAGCACCTACTACTATATCAATGTCATCTAGAATCGTAATTGTGATTTTTCTGCCGTACTTAGTTTTAATATCTACAATTTTAGATTTATATTTTCCTCTTCCTCTTTTTTTGTTCCTGGAAGAAACTGCAAAGGAAAAAATTATACTGAGAAAGCATAGTATTGATACTTGTACCAATCAATTTAAGAAATAATATACGTGGCCAAATATATATATATATATATATATATATACATGCGTAGTTACATTAAAGGGAAAAATAAAAAACTAACCTACACTACCAATTTCAGCTTCTGAAGAAGGATACGCACTTATGTCCAAATTTCTTGATGAAACTGTCTCTACAGAAGGTCTCTGCCAAGGGTTGCTTGATATTTGCCTTGTCTCGATAGGTTCTTTACAAGGATTATTTGATTCTCCTGTCTCTAAGGATGCTCTAGTATTTCCCCTTAGCTGCAATTGTGGCTGAGACGTCGCTCCAGAATTGCTACGTCCTTGAAAATGGCCACGTCCACAGCTAGTTCCACCTCGACCTTTGCCTCGTCCAATTCCTATCATGTTGAACCTCCTGCATTATATAGAAAAAAATTAGTAAGAACAAAGGTGAAATGCAACAAGAAAACCGTTTACTCCATCTTTGTATCTTTGGTCTCCTCTATTCCTAAGATTCAACCAACTTTTATCCATTCTTATTTTTTTGGATAAAAGGCAATCAATTAATTAAATAAATGTGAAGTGCAACAACAACCAGCATATCAACAAGAACATAAGTGGAAAAGATGAACAAATCAAACCACCCATAAAAAAATTAGTATTGCAGCAACAACTTTTTCCTGTAAGAGTAGGATCTCAATAGAAACAGTGCATCAAACGAAAATACAATAATACTATACTAGTCAAAGAGGGAAATGTTTATTGTCCAACATGGTCACTTTTCTATAAAATATCTCAATTCCACAATGTAGACATCTATTAATGAAATTAAGCCATTTTTGTACCACATACTTTTAAAATGAGAAACTAAAGTTTTATAAATTACAAAATACCAAGCACTAAGATAGCGCTCAGTACATAAAGGGTATTCTCCCGGATGTTAATACAAATTCTCATCCATTCATATAATGCGCAGACTAGTTATGTAATTTCTATTCCTTTTTATATTGTTTATCTTTTATAACAATCAGTGAGCAAATCCTTATAACTTACAAGCACGAATAAATTCCCCAAATATCACACGACTAAGAGAGTCAACCACATCTAAAACAATAATTACCTCTGATCTCAACCTTAAAGAAAAGAAAAAAATGGGAGAAGACATTATACTACTGAAAAATTGGTCTATGGTAACGCATGGAAAACCGTTCTAATAGCAATTCAAAATTCATCTTATGTAAGGTCTAGATCTTCATTGCCTCCATCTTCCATTTCTTGATCTACACCACCTACAAAAGAGGATAAATAAAGTCATTGCCCTTCAAGATCTTCATTGCCTCCATCTTCCATTTCTTGATCTACACCACCTACAAAAGAGGATAAATAAAGTCATTGCCCTTCAAGATCTTCATTGCCTCCATCTTCCATTTCTTGATCTACACCACCTACAAAAGAGGATAAATAAAGTCATTGCCCTTCAAGAGAATCCGGTCTAGGAATGCTCATAGCATAAAGTGCTACGTAAAAAGAAAAGGACATGACTGAAATAACTTGCTTGAGTTTACTAGCTTTTTGGTTATGATGAAAAATCTTTACATCTGATTACAAGGGACAATATCACCTGTGATCAAACCTTTGCATCACCAAATGGACTAAATTATCCCTCCATCACAGTACCAAAAATCAAATCTCAGAAGCACATCTTCAGTATCTCGAACTGTTTATAATGTGGGAAAAACAAGAAGCATTCACAAGGCAGTTGTCTTTGCACCAACGCGTGTCAATGTCACTGTGGTGCCGCGAAGATTAGCCTTCACTAGATATTACCATAAGATAAATTTTACAGCGAACTTCAAGGTGGTTGCACCAACACAGGGATATGTGTTTGGTTCCTTGACATGGAGAAACAAAACATAGGTTTCACAAGAAATCAGTAGCAAAACAGCTGCTAAAAAGCCAGCTGAAAAGCTGCTAAAAAGCAGCAAAACAGCTGTAACAATCACCTTCTTAAAGCTGCTGCAAAATTCAGCAATTCTACTTCCCAAACCAACCCAAAAACACAGCAAAACCAGCCGAGAAGCCAGCTGAAAACCAGCGTGAGCCCCATCTAGAATCGACCCTGAAACAACTCCAAAACGCAGCCAAAACTCACTTAAAATGACTCCACAAACAACCCCTCTTTCTCCACCATAAATCTCCTTTAAAACTAGTAAAAAAACATTGCCATAGATAGATAGAGAGAGAGAGAGAGAGAGAGCACAGTGGTAGAAGAAGCAACATAAAAAGAAAAGAGGAGAAGAAGAAGAAAGAGAAGAGGTGTAACATTTGGTACAGACTAACCTTGATTGTAACTGCAAGCAGTTGGACGATTGATTAGTTGAATAGCAGCTTGTTGTGTAGAGAAAACTTCTCCAGATGCACGAGCACTGAACATTAGCATGTTAGGATCAAGTTGCAAATCGGGGTTGAGACGTTGAAGACGTGCGACGACGTTCACTGTAATTTCTTGTTCCATAGCATCCTTTTGTGCATTGAATTTTTCCAGCATTCTTTGTTCCATCCTCTCTTCCATTTCTTCCATTTTTTGTTGCATCCTCTCATCAGTAGCATCGATTAAACTGATAGCACATCAAATAAACTCAAGATCTTTTAAGCAGAATATATGTTTTGACTAGATTAGACTCCAGATAATTTATTTTCTATTGTCACAACCACAATTGCAGAGAGGAGATTATTTTAGCAGCACAAGTAGCATTAAATATGATATATAACCACCAACTAAAACTTGTTATATTTAATTTAATATCAAACACAAGAATCTGCCAGAAAAGCAATGGTGGCACACAAATATTAATTTTCTCAAACTAGAGATGATTGCATTCGTTATTCTATATTAAATAAATAATAAAGAAGAATTATTGAGGCATATATGAGATTGTGATCTAATTAACTATTGTCACCTGACCATTGAACTGTACGATGACAAGTGTAGAGCATTCCTCTACTATCTTATGATATTTCCAAACTGAGAAATTCTAAAAAAATATAATAAGCTTGAAACCTTTATTATATGGCCAGCTGGCACAAATTACCCAATTCTAATTCAACTAAAGAAGAATATCAAACTTGATATAAGTGAACAATTACTGCAAATCCAAACTTGGATAAAGTAAATTTATCGCAATGCAAAGCCATGGTTAACTTGTCATTTCTAGATTCAAGCAATAGCAGCAACACTTACCAGTGTAGTGTTAATTGCAGTTGCAAATTCAAGCAATAGCAATAACTTTTTTCCATAATGATCTGCAAAAAAAGTATTTAATTGAAGATTGATAAACTTGAAAGATGGTTTCTTTTTTCCATAATGATCTGCAAAAAAAGTATTTAATTGAAGATTGATAAACTTGAAAGGGCTAACCATCTTTCGACAACAACAACCCAGTACAATACCACAAGTAGGGTATTGTGTACTTAGCCCTACCCTGGGGTAGAGAATGGACTAACCATCTTTAGCTCAAAAAATAAAAATAAAAATACTGAAAAGCAAAAGCAACGAGTAAGAGAGCTAGAAGGCATTGCAAATGAAACATGATTTGTTGTTAGTAGGTGATTACTTCAGGGAAGATATGAAACTAGAAACACTAACGGAAATTTCCTCCGCCTCTGTCCTCTCTGCAACTAAGTTCTATATAGCTAAAGACAAGGTATGTGCTTTATTAGGGTAAGGAATCAAAATAATAAAACTAGAAAAATACATCAAAAAAGCAACAACAATACACTAACAAATAATATAAGGAAAACAATGACTAAGCAAAATTTCAACATTCAATACATCATAATTATCAGATGGCTCTAAACTAGACCTAGCAAATTTGACAAAATATCTCACACTTCCACTATGCCATGAAACAGAATTAACAGAAAGCATCCATGTCGATCAAACTTGGTAAAATACCATAAAGCAATTAAAGATCAACATTAATGTCTCTATTGATGTTGGGTGGAGCAAGTTCCTGGTCAAAATTTAACTGCACTCAGTCATTACAACAGGCTGCGCTTCCCTGCACTATCTTTGAGTGCCAAATTCCAACTTCATATATCCTATTACTAATTTAAGGACATAAACTAACAATTCGATTGATGATAACCGCAAAAAAAAAGGTTGAAGAAAGTCATCAGAGAGAAGGTTTTAGATAAGTCTCAACTTTTTATGCAAGCAAGGGAAGTTTGTATTTTTTGGGTTAATTAATCACTCAAGAGATAGAATATTTAAAATGCAAAGAAATGAATGATCAATATAGTGGGATTAGAAAATTAAGCACGAGATTTCTGTACCTTTTCCATTTGCAAGAATAAAAAATGTCACCTTATTACAAGGATCAAGAAAGAGGGTCATTCCCCTTAATCTTTCTCGTTGTACTTAGTCAAGGCAGTCATGAATAAATAAGCATACATTAATCAATAACATAACTTTTCCAGTCAGCTTCCACAAAATTGAAAAAATAAGGACACACCAAACAGGAAACTAAAGAATCCGATGTACTGCAAAAGCAATCGAAGCAGATATATCGACCAAATTTCCCGAAAAACGTGCTCCATGTACAACTTTACTTTTCTATTCTGCTTTGGTAGATCCCAAATAGATGAAAGAAGACACTGAAACTTGCGAGACAGATCCAGAACAAGCTTTATGGTTTTTCAGCCCCAATTGTTTCTTTAAAAAAATTTCATTGACAACTATAAGTCTGCAGAAGGTGCTCTAGATTCTGTTCAGATTGTCAATCACAAAGCCCTCCCGCTTTGTGATGGATAAAACCAAAACGAATTTAATTGAAGAACCAAATTTTAACACAATCAAGGATAGTAGAAAAAGATTTACAAAAAAGGCGTCAAAAAACTTACATAGCAAAAGTCACTTGTGTTGGATTTAGGGATTTGGGGAGAGCACCTGGGTTTGGGAACTTTCTCGTCTGTGTTCAAAGTGAGAGAAGAGGAGCCTTATTTGGGGTATATGATTGAGCCTTATTTTGGGAAAGAAGTTTTTAACTTACCCAGCGAAAGAGCAGTCGACACTGAGAAAGGGCTTTAGGCGATGGCTATCAAGAAAAAATACCTCGATTCCTGTATATTTTCAAATGGGCTAGAGAAATTAAAGGTGAAATTGAAGAAATAATCATTCTCGCTAGTTGCATGTACCACCCAAAAGAATTTAGGATTCAAACACATACCTAATTTGAGAATATAATTTCTGTTTAGGGCTCTAGATATCGGTTTACATTTGGGATTTAAGGATAGATTCTAGAGATTTCAGGGAATTGGATGGATAATTATTAGTAAGAGTGGGAGAAAACCCCTTTTGCTGAGAGAGAGTGAGAGATGAAGCTGCAGAAGTACGTATGTTTCTTCTCTTTAAACTAGTCACTAGTCATCATTTATTTTCTTTCTTTGCTTATTTTTATTTAAGTAATTTTAAGTGATTTTTTTTTAAATTAGTAGCGACCTAGTCGCTCCAAAAGACCTATAGGGCGATATTTTTTCCTAAAATATTGGGGCCAAATTTTTGTTAATAGCGGGAACTAAAAATTCAGGATTTAGTGGCACATATTAGAGGCGACCTAAGAAAGTCGCTACTAAAAATTTATTTACTGTAGCAATTTTTTAGAGTCGCCACAATAAATTTGATATTTGTAGCAATAAATAAAGTCGTCACTAAATATTGCCACTAAACGACAGATTTCTTGTAGTGATTATGTTAAACTGCTTGGCAACCTAGAGAGCAAGAATTAGAATCTGTATTTACCTTGTTCCTCCATTTTTCTAAAGAAGTACATGGGTTTTACTGCCAACCTCAACATGAATACCAAAGAAAAGTATTGTGTAACTTGGTATGTTAATCAATAATATCTGTAACGTATAATTTAATATATATTTCAGTACGATATTGATATTTCGGTATTGTCTTTTTTTTATATCAAACACCATATCTAATACCAAATTATTTTTAAAACATAAATCAAATACTATATCAAAATACCGAATACCATATACCAATTTTTTTTATTTTTGTACGATATTTACCATATTATGTACAGCTAGGGGTGTACAAAGGAAACCAAAAAACCGCACCAACCTGATAATCCGAATCAAATCGGAAAAAAAAAAATCCGACTATGGTTTGGTTTGATTTGGTTTGGTATTAAAAAAAAACCCGATCATAATTGGTTTGGTTTGGTTTTAACTAAAAAAAGCTAAAGCGAAACCAAACCAACTCGACATTACATGTATACAATTTTTAAAATATTTTATACATAAAAATAATTATTGTAATGTAATTTATAAATATTTTTTAACCTTTTTCATAGTTCTTTCTTTTAATATATTATTTCAAGCTTTAATTTAGAACTTTTGAATAGTCAAATATGATTTATAGCTCATAAAAGTTAGTGACTCAAATAAATTCCAAAGCAAAATCAAATCAATAAAAATGTTAACAAAAAAAATTCAATTCAATACTAGAAATGACAATAGTATCGGATATTTATTTTCTTAGTTTTTCATTACTTTAGATGGTGAAAATACATAACTTACTTTTAATATTATTTAGTCATGTATTTAGTACTTAGTACTTATTAGTCGTACTTATTTTAACATGATTTAGTACTTTTACATTATATTTATTTTTATTATGACTTATTAATTAGCAATATTTATTTTATACGATTTGTTGACTATTTTAGTATATTCATGACTCATTTTACATTATTTTTATTATTTTATTGGGTAACATCTTATATAGTTTATCCTGCTAGGACCTATGAAATATTAAAGCACAAAAAATAAACTTTATGTTACGAAGATTTTGTCGAAAAAAAACCCTGAAAAACCCGAGAAAATCGAAAAACTCGAGATTGAAAAACCCGACTTTTGTTGGTTTTGTTTGGTTTATAGATTTAACAATCCGAAACAATTGGCTTGATTTGGTTATTGAAAAACCCGAACCAACCCGATCCATGTATACGTTATGTACAACCCTACAAGATATCACTTTCGGACATACAGTGTTAGATATGGGAAATGGAATTCCCCACCTGCCAAATATTAACTGTGAATATTGTCTTGTAAGTAACGTATAGGAAAAACCTTTGTCGGCAAAAAATTAATGTTCTTTTTGGTTTATTATTTTGGCAACCTTCAGTTCTCTTAAAAAAAATATAGTATAGACTATCCTGCAGAAAACTATACAACTAGTTTTCTTGTATATTATGTTTTCCCTGTGCGAGGCTTCTGTTAACTGAAAATTGGTGTGGGGCAGAAATAGACTTTTATTTTTCATCTTCAGTAAAAAATAATGGCCTTGTTAGAATATAGGATCACAGAAAGGAAGCAGAAAGTCTTTGAGGCGTGAAAATTACTTAACTGAAAGAGATATATGGTTGTTCTCTCATGACGTACGCAACAAAACCTCTATGTATCCTGCAAATTAAATTTCTTAATTAGGCACTTATTGAGAAGATCACTAGTATTTATATATGTTCTGAATAGCTATGCATATGACTTTTTTTAATAAAAGAAAATTAATTTTATTAATAAATCTCTGATTCTTCTTTTGAATTGTTCTCCATGATTCATATTTCTCCGAGTCCCTAGGATGTATTTGACATGCATATTACTTCACGAATAGATCTATATCTTTTATACAAGATTTAAGTTTAAAATTTAAATTAAACCGAATATTCTGCTATAGATAGAAATGAAAATAAACGGAGTTCAGAGATTAACCTTTATTTGGAGTTACTTGGAGAAATTCTACACAGAATTAAAGTCTTCAAATTGTTTTTGGGCTACTGATCTGGTACTTAATTCCCACCAACATTACAAACTACTTAACACTTGTACGTTGAGGTTGCGTGAAATTTTAGGTGAAGCAGAATTTCTAGACGTACGTTTTAATGTCGATTGTCCATCTCATGCTAGATTTGAGGTATGCCCGATTTCCCGGCTCGAGGGTGTTTAACCAAAAATATAAATTTCGGTCAAAGCTTTATTTTAGAAGAACTCGGGTTACTGATAATCAAAAGATAAAATGAATAAAGGAAATTAATTTTGATAATAATAAGATGAACAGAAGAAAGCAAAGTAAATCAGTATATTCCGATGATATTTCGTATCCTTACAAATGATCAGTCTTCTCCTTTTATAGCTATTTCAAGGTAATACGTTTCGTTTCTACCATAATTGAGCCATTATTGTCTATGAATGACATTTAATGACATTTAATGTAACGTTATAATCAGCAATCATATTTGATTCAATACAGATTCCTTAACGTTTTCTGTATTTAATGCACAATAGTACGTATCTATACCTTATTTACTATCAGATTCATTCTCTTCCATCATAAAAAGGCTCAAGTATCTATCTTCCTTGCTTTTTCTCTGAACATTTGCCTGTGTATGTTGAAGCTCGTGCCTTCTTTGATTATTTTTCATCACTTATTCTTCTTTGACTTGTCCACGTATCATGACGTGTCATCTTATAATGAATTCCATACATAAACTTAATTTTTCCCAATACAGATAGTCCCCCCCACTTGCCATCATCGATAGAATATTTGGGAAGTGCACCTCATTAAAGCGGGAATATTTGTTGTCATTAATTCTTCTCTGGAACTGATACTTCATCTATCTCTTCCATTTAATGTTCATGACACGTGGCATTTCCTGATTGGCTCTGCAACCTTTCAGCGCCTTTTAAGGCTTTTTTTACGGCTTCACCAATTACGAGGCGACAACTCTCATTATTACGTTTCCATCATTGCGCCTTTTCCTTTGATGGTTACTTCTGATTATAAATTTAACTTTTTACCTTTGTCTTTTTCACAAAAGTTCAGAATATTCTATTCAAAGTTTCTTCTTCCTCGTACTATTACGTCTTCTTCAAACCCTAACCATCGGAGAGTCTCCATTGTTGACAACCTTTCTCTTGCTCCTATTAGAAGTAGGAGAGGAGGAAGGCTTCGTAGTTTAGGGTTTTCTTCATCACGAGTTCCCTCTGTTCCTTCATCGAGTTCTACTCCTCCATCTATAACCAGAGTTTCTCTTTCTCAAAGGTCTTCATCTAGAGGTAAAGAACCCACTGAACCTCTTCGTGAACCTTTAGTGGATGAAATTATTCTTGCGGAACTATCTTTCTACAATGATAGAGAATCCCTTAGAAATCAACTGTCTTCATTATATCGTGTTGATATCTACCCGACTCAAATCACTGAAGGTCTGATTTCAATAGTTCGTAGAGATTGCCATTGGAGCCATGACTTTTTCATTATAATCCCTAATGCAAACCAAAGAATCACCTCCTATTTAACTGGATTTTGTTTTTTGTTTACACTTACCTTTTCACGTTGGGTTTTAAGCCTGCTATTGACCCTGTTATACTTGAATTCTGTCGTTTTTTCGACGTTTGCTTAGGACAAATTGGCCCTATTGTGTGGAGGGTTGTTGCCTGTTTGAGGCACTTGACCAACATGTCTGGTGTGCCTTTTACTTTCTCTCATTTAATCCACCTCTATTCTCCCAAGCTCTTTCGCCAAGGAATCTTTATTTTAGTAGCAAGAAGTAAAAGAGTTCTAGTCAACCCAGAAGATGATAAAGATCATGGTTGGTACACCAGATTTGTTGCTGCCCCCACTATTGGTTTAGTGGGTGATGGAAATGTTCCCTTTCCCGAGAAGTGGAAGTTTGCACGTGAGTTTTTTTTAACTTTCTCGTACCTTTTTTTTAATTCTATTGATCTCCATTTTAATTTCCTTCCTTTTCTTTTTAGCAACCATGGGAATTATTGATGAGATTCCCAATTTCCGTGGTTGGGCAGAAAAGTTATTACGTACCGCTTCGATGGACGGTAGGTCTTGGAAAAATCTCTCTCATCGATTTGGCTGGAAAGTGAAAACTCACGGTAAGAGTTTTTTTTTCTTTTCCTACCTTACTTACTGTTTTCATCAAAAATTATTTTGATCCTTCTTTTTGTCAAGATTTCCCATTCGAGACGTAAGTGCTGAGGCCGTCGCAACTTCCAAAATTTCTTTAGATAGGGCCCAAGAGATAATTTTGGGTTCTTCATCAAAAAGGAAGACTACTGTCGACCAAAACTCTAGGGAGGAAGAAGAACAAGACGGGGGTTCTCTGATAAAAAGGCCAAGGGCTAGACGAAGAATTATTTCAGATGATGAAGCATCTCCCCCTCATTCTATTCCTTTCACCGAGCCTGTTGTAGCCTCGTTGGTGATTTCTGATGATGATACTCCCGCTGCTGCTCATGATTCTGTTGAACAGCTTTTTGCCCGCGGGTTTGGTAGTGAAAGTTCAGGGCCAATTTTTTATGAACCACCCCTTGCTTCTTTTTCTACACCCATTCCTTTGATAC